GTTAAAATATATTTGTGCTTTAAGTGTAGAAGAAAGAGTAGATTATATTGTTTTTCCACAAAAATAAAATAAAATATTAAGTGTGTTTTTTTAACGACAGAATAATTAATAAATAAGGTTATATCTCGAAGAATTTTAAAAAAGTTTTACAAGTTCCTTGAAAAGATATATATATATATATATATATATATATATATATATATATATATATATATATATATATATATATATATATATATATATATATATATATATATAAAAGTTCCTTGAAAAGCTAGTGTGTGTGTCTATATATATAACTGAGTTATAAATTTTTTTTTAGGTTTGACTAAATTGCAAGATTGGTCTCAAGATTGGTCTCAGCGATTAGCAAAAAAATGTGAATGAAGTCTAAAAAGTTTTCAACTTGTACTACTTATCCAAATCACATATTTTCGCGGATTTGGTCCCTGTACAATTTGAAATGACTCATTTGCCTTTTTATTTGTTTTTTCTATTTTATTTATTAATTTAAGTACTTAAATATTTAGAAAAAAGTAAAAAAAAAAAAAATCTACCCCACCCCACCCTATCACTCCACCGGTAACCCCCCACCCCCTCTACTAGTTATCATACACATACAACTCAAAACACACACGCACACACCTGTAACTCAATCTTTCATCTTCTTTCATCATCAAACCCACTCACCAAATTCTGTCTAATCTTTCCAAAACTCTCTGTAACAACCGTCACTTGAGGTAATAATTGTTTAATAATTATTTAATTAATTGTTTTACGTAATATTTAATAGATGGATTATTTGAGTGGACCATTAGTGAGTGGGCCGAATAGTTGGGCTGCCCAGAAGACATACGTTGGGAGTAGCCTTGGCGTACGCGGGGCATAGAGGAGCATTGGATACGGGGGACGCATGCACGTACGCACCGCGTACGTGAGCAGATTCCAAACCTTAATTTTTAGGGTTTAAGCCATATGAATACAACATTATGACTCAAAACCTAGCCTTCTTACCAGCCTCTCAACCTAAAAAAAACCCTAGAAACCCTTTCATACTTCATCCTTGTGTGTTTGGCCTTGTGAAGCTTACTTTGGTGATCTGGAGCTTGGAAGAAGAAAAGAGAAGTTGGAGAAGAAGAACTTAAATATCTTGAGCTTAAGGATCTGAGATTACCTCACTATTTGGCACCCATTGGAGGTATAAAGCTTTCAAATTTCCTCATGTATGCTTAGATCTAGTGTAGTGATGTTTTAGGATCTTTTTAGTCCTAAGAATGGATATTTATGACTCAAACTCGTTTCTAGGTCTATGGTTGCCACCCGTAGTGACATATGAGTCTCATAAGCAGTAAAGTTTCGATCTTTAAGGTCCATTTTGACCATGCATGAGATCCACCCATTCCCGTGGAAGTTAGTTGCTATATTCCAAGTTTGGGTTCATTTGGTGGGTTGCAAGCACCAAGTAGTCGACTTTATGAGTTAAGACATGCTTAGGGACACAGATCTGTAATATAGGCTAAAAGTCTTAATATAATAAGCATTTTTGAAGTTGATGGCTTAACAGGGTAGTACGATGGGTGTACAAGCCAGTACGCTCAGCATACAAGCCATGTAGAAGTACGCTTAACGTATAGAGGAGTATGCCCAAAGTACTCTCAGGATTTGGGCTTTGCGTTGTTTGGGCCAATCTTTGGACTTAGCAGTTATTGGGCCTTAAAGGGCCATCAGAAGTCAGATATTGGACCAAAGACATGTTTGGGCTTAAGGGAAGGCCCATTTGAGAAGTTGAGCCCAATTTAGAAAATTTGGCCATTAGTGGGCTTGGGAAGATTAGATGAAATTGGGAATAGGCTATGGTCCAATCTAGATCATGGGGTAAAATGGTCATTTTATCCTAAGAAGGATTATTGGATTTTGACTAAGTGTTATTGTTAATGATAGTCGGGGAGCAACCGATAGAGATTCCTCACTAAGAGGTTCAGTAGCCAGCTTTGTGAGGTGAGTTTTCCTCCTGGTTTGAACGGGTCGAAGGCACCAAGGTCGGCCCGTATATGTTTTGATTAGTATCTGAGTGTGGGTAAGGCCCGTATCTCATAGATAGGCGAGTCTGGGCAAGGCCTGCATTTCATAGCATTAGTTGAGTGTGGATATATGATTGATTGATAGATTTGATTATACTTGATGTCTGTGTGATATTTTTATGTATGCTTAGTAGCCAAGTGTAGGAGGGGCCCGTATTTAGTAGTTAGTCGAGTGTGGGTGTGGCCCGTATCTCGTATTCAGTGGAGGGTTGACGGGGCTCGTATCTCCAGGTTAGCGGAGTGTGGGTGGTAGGGATGAGATTTAGAACCAGAAAACCGGACCGAAACCGGAATCGGACCATCGGGTCCGAGTAATCCGGGTTTGAGTCCATCGGGTCTGGGTAAACCGAGTCTAAAAACCGGAACCGGAACCACTTTTAGGGTCGGAACCGATTTATTGTGAAATTTTTAAAAGATGCATATCTCATTCGTTTCAACTCCGATTGACATACGGTTTTTTCAAATGAATGTGGTTTGATGAAGTTAAAAAATGGGGGTTTCAAATGCATGAGATTCAAGAAAAAATGTTAGCTTTATAAGTATGTATGATACTAGGCGAATCCCCGCGCGTTTCGCGAGAATAGAATTATATAGTTCAAAATAATAACTTTACCAAATTATTATTTAATATTTATACTTTGAAACAAAATGTTAGTTGTAAAGCAAACATATAGTTAACATATTAGTTTTATTAAACATTATACTTTAATTTTTAAGTCATTGTGATATATACAATTATTTGATAATTTTATAAACCGTTTAAAATTGTGTAAAATATATATCAAATGAATGATAATATAACGGATAACAAAACATATAAACAAAAATATGAACAACAACTTTTAGTAACATAAAAATAGAAAAACAACTATTATAACATTTGTATTAAAAAAGATATATATACAACGAATAATAAAAAATATGAAAAATAAACACTATAACTTTTAATAACATAAAAACACTAAAACACCTATTATAACATTTATATTAACTCTTCATATTTAAATCGCAACTCTCTTCAAATACATTAATGTTTTAAATGAGCAAAAGTTTACAACCTTATAAAAAAAATAAACAAAAGGTTATTAATGATTACTAATTAATAATCATAAGTCAAAAACTCTTGAGTTGTAAGTAATAAATATACATAAATTAGAAAACTTTTAAGTTGTAGTGTGGGTTTCAAATGAATGTGGTACTTGGAAATGTATATTTATTATTATTATTATTATTATTATTATTCATCTAAATAATTGGTTTCGATGCATCATTTTAATCCCTTCAATTATTAAACATAAAAATATTTAATTATAAATTTATAACATACATAGGTGTATATACATGTTAAACAAATCACATAATATATATATATATATATATATATATATATATATATATATATATATATATACATTTAATATGGATAAATTACTTTCATATGAAGAACATATCATGATAAATTTATCATAATACATATCAAATGTTCAAATTGATGTTGTCTTTTAAATACGTTGTGTACGATAACCCAATAAAAAAATAATAAAAATAAACATAACCAAAATAAAAAAAACTACAATTAAATAAATAAGAGCATTGGGTGGTTGAATATATAAACAAAGATGTTACATAAACATACATTTAAATCAAAAGAAAAACTAACATTCGTCAACTTTGCTCAAACAAAAAAACCTATATCTATTTTATCAATCTTCTTTCCTCATTTAACACAATTCAGCCATTGAAACTTGATGACAATTCTTCACTAACCTGCAATCAAAATATTTTTCTTGAAAAAGAAGAATCAGAAAGATATTATAAGCAAAACATTGATGTTTGAAAAGTCACATTGAAGATTGAGTAATACACACAAGTCACATATAAATATTAAATGAGAAACTAAATATAAAGAAAGAATAGAAAAGCTTCATTTGTTTTGGTTGAAAGAAAAAAACTTATTACAATTACTATCAATGCGACATAACTCATTTCTTCAAATCATCATATATGGATCGACATAACCAATTTCTTCAAATCATCATATTTGGATCGTGAATACTTCAACTATATGAAAACGTTTGAATCACAATATCTTCAAATCTTTCTAACATGTAAGATTTTATATAACACAAAACACAAAAAGATTAAACATAATATAAGTTATAAAACTTTTGAGTGTTCAATCATAATTAAGAAAACTTTTGAGTTGCATTAGTTAAAAAATAGGGTTTCGAATGAATGTGGTTTGAGGAAGTTAAAAAAGGGAGTTTCAAATGCATGAGATTTAAGAAAAAATTCTAACTTTATAAGTATAAAGATATATAATTCTACTCAAATGTCAAAATTATGCACCAGTATTTTAAAAAATAACTCACAATTTCCTTGATAATCCATAATACTTTCGGCCTCTAAATTAATTGTTCAAGCTCTGTCCTAGATGAACCGGTTGGTGAGAGATGTGGTGGGTCATATTCTTTTTTCTTTTCTTTTAATATTAAAAGGTTATTAAAATAAATATAAAAAATTCGGAAAAAAGTTAAAAAGACAAAATAATCATTTTAATTTTTTTTCACTAACCATAGGTTCCAATTTTAGTTTAGTCAAGTTTAGAAAAAGATACATATAACATACACAACACAGCCTAAATGATTTTATTGTGATTACACATTTGGAGGATGGCATAATCAAATAAAATCAATTTCACATCAGTATTTTCAACAGTTAGATTTTTATGTGTAAACGGTGGGAAAAATTTAAACAAAAATTAATCAAAGCATGCATGAAAACGGTAAATAATAATAATAATAATAAAAATAATAAATACGTTACTACAAGTATATCTCTGACATAGTCCAAGGTTATTTACGTAATTGAGTCCGAAGAAAAAGAATATCCAAGAACCCCTTGACAAGTGGGTTATGCCCGTGAAGTGAATTTAATAAGGTCAGCAATCGGCAAACTCTTTAGACTTTAGAGAGAGAGAGAGCGAGAGAGAATCATAAGAGGTTTTAGACCGAGAAACCGCGTGATAAAGCCAAGGATCTATCTTTGTTCATCATCACACTCAAAATTACCTAACAAATATTTAAGGTTTGCTATGCCTTTCTTTCATCTTCCTTAATTTCAATTTCATCACCAAAATTTCTTGCCATTCTTCATCAAAAACTTCATTGAGCATAAGGGCTTCGTCAATTTTCTCCCTAAATTTCTTCTAAATTCCTCTTCAAGACTTCCCTAAATTTTCAGATAGAACAAGTGAGTATCTTTCCATTTCATGTTTGATAAAATTTTTATCATTTCATGGTGTTTATTTCTTATTCTTCTCTCGTATGTTTATAAAAGAATGTCGCATTGTTGCTGTATATAAAGAATGTACATTCTTCATTCCAAGAAAAGAGTTCCACTTTCATATTGTATCTTGAAAATTATTATTATGGGTTTGAACTCTTTCAAATGTATGTCGATTTTACATTTGGAACGTACCAGTTTTTCCATAAAGAAATTAAAATCTCAAGGTTTGTGCTGCTATGTCCGTTTTCCATAAAGAAATTAAACATTTTTATCTTGTGGGTAGAGTTTATATCTGTAATTTTGCTCTTAATTTTGAGAAAAAGAGTCAAATCAGACCATGGAAATTCATAAATAATCTGAAAATTGAAAGCTTTAGGGCTATAAGTTGTATCTTTTTTAAATCTTCTTTAGAATTTACTACACCTGCCGACTTTTCACAGGCCCTTTTTCTTTAACTGTACTTTGGTTGTAACTGGATGGTAATTTTCAGCAGCCAACTGTCATTTCTTCCTATTACAACATCTTACTTTTACTTTTTTTTTTTTTTTTTTTTTTTCTTCTTATCAATGCATTGCACATTGAAAAAGCTACCCAGTTATATCATCATACTTTTAATTGCTTGCTTATTAAGACATGGTACTTTAAACAATTTATCCAATTATATAAGTGAAAATTGCTTTGTATTTGGGTATATTATATATTTCAAAGTTATGTTGCCATGTAAAGAAATGAAAGTATGTTGCTATTTGTTGCATTTGATACAAATGATATACGTAATTATAAACTCCAACTGTGGATTATGATTCTGCAATGAGATTAGAAGATGGGAAAGTTGAATAGATGAAAAATTAAAGACAATAGGCTTCTTTATTGTGGGAATCTTCTTTCTATCTTTGCTTTTTTCCTTCCCATCTTACTCACTTTTTATCTTTACACCACTTTAAATCTTTTTTCCTTGGTTACTAAGCTATCAAGATAAAGTTGTATGCTTTTATTGTTCATGATCATCACCCGTTATCATATATTCATATTATGAATACGAAGTATAATCAACACAAATTTAAAAATTTCAGATTGAATTAGATGTCATTTCGTAGCATAGTTCGCGATATAAGAGATGGAATTGGGAGCTTATCAAGACGTGGTTTTGAAAGAAGTAAATCACAAAGTTTTGTTCATGAATTGGATAACCACTCAGGTATTGTGATCAATAGCCGTTGGGATGGTTTACCACCCGAATTACTTCGTGATGTGATTAAGCGGTTGGAAGCAAGCGAGAGTGTGTGGCCTGCTCGCAAGCATGTGGTTGCCTGTGCGGCGGTTTGTAGGTCGTGGAGGGAAATGTGTAAAGAAATTGTTAGCTCCCCGGAGTCCTCAGGGAAACTTACATTTCCAATCTCTCTAAAGCAGGTAGATTCACAAAACCTCGTTTGTTATACAGGACAGAACATAACAGGTTGTACTGCATTTGACATTCGTTGGACTCGGTGTTGGACTTTGTGACAGAACAGAATAGGTTGTACTGTATTTGACCTTCATTGGACTTTACGACTAGCGTCAGACGTCAGTGGGACAAATATTGCAATTTTTTGTCCCACCTCACTCTCGATCTCTCGTTTGTACAAAAGACATGAATCCCCTCAAGAGAGATGGAGTGGTCTCTCTATGACTGTCTTTGATGATGAGGCTGAGGAGGGCATTCACGTCTTTTGTACTGACAAAAGATCTAGAGTGGTCACTATCACATCTTGTACCACCTTTTTAGGTGGGACAACAAATTGCAATTTTTGTTCCATTAATTTTAGTTATGGTCCCACTCCAATGGACACCAAAGGCAGTACAATTTGTTCTGTCTTGTCTAGTCCTGTGTAGCAAGTATTAAATATTTTTCTGTGACTTTTTTTGCACATGTTTGAATTATTTCTGATGTTTTGTAACACAATTAAACTATATTACAGCCGGGGCCTCGGGATACCACGATTCAATGCTTCATCAAGAGAGATAAATCTAATTCGACGTATTATCTTTATCTTTGCCTCAGCAGTGGTAAGTCTTCACTCTTTATTATAATTACACATTTCTTAATATTTTTGTATATAATTATGTTATTTTCAGTTTTCTTGAAGCATGTTGACTTACAATATGGATTTGAAACCTCAGTCCAAAAAAACTTTTGATATATGCGTTTTCTATGATTAAATGTTAAAAATATCCTTCAATAACAACAAAGTTGAGATAATCGCGTTGTGCACAATGAATATTGACTTTTTATAATGATTACATAAAAATTTGTTACATTTGCAGCATTGGTGGTAGAGAATGGGAAATTTCTTTTTTCAGCAAAACGAAGTAGGAAAAGTACATGTACAGAGTACATCATTTCACTGAATGCTGATAACATATCGAGGTCAAACCGTGGATACATTGGAAAAGTGAGGTACACTACACTCCTGTTTTTTTTTTTCTCCCATTAAATGCTCTTTAAAAAATATAAAAGAAAATAACGACACACTTTGGGAAATGGAATGAAAAAGTAAATGAGGTTAAATTTGTAAAAACATGGGGACTTAATGGAGGATTCCTCATTTTCTGTACTTTCTCTAATATATTAATTAAGTTCCCCATTAAGTCCATTAAGTGAATAAACAATGTCTTAATTTTGGATATGATTCCTTTTTTCTTATAAAATTTTCTTAATTTTCAGATCAAACTTTCTTGGTACAAAGTTCATAGTTTATGACTCCCAACCGCCACACAACACCGCCAACGTGGTCCCACCGGGTCGTTTAGGATCAAGCCGCCGTTTTTCTAGAAGGGTTTCACCAAAGGTTCCTTCCGGAAGCTTCAACATAGCTCAAATTGTATACGAGCTAAACGTATTGGGGACACGGGGTCCACGTAGGATGAACTGCATAATGCACTCAATCCCCATGTCCGCCATGGAACCTGGCGGCACCACCCTCGACCACCACCCTAACCTGGCGGCACATTCCTTCAAAGACTCATTCAGAAGCATCTCGTTTTCCAAATCAATCGATAGTTTAAGCGAATTCAGTAGCTCCCGATTTTCCGACTTCATGGGCACAAATGAGGTACAAAATGGAGAACAAATGAAGAACATGCCTTTGATTCTAAAGAACAAACAGCCAAGGTGGCATGAACAGTTGCAATGTTGGTGTCTAAATTTTAAAGGGAGAGTAACGGTTGCTTCCGTGAAGAACTTCCAGCTCATCGCTGCCACCACTACCACCGCCGCTCCTCCGGTGGTGGTGGATGAGGCAACACCGCCACAAACTGCCCAAGCTCAGTCACAATCATCGCATGATAAGGTGATTTTGCAATTTGGTAAAGTTGGAAAGGACATATTTACTATGGATTATCGGTATCCTTTATCTGCCTTTCAAGCTTTCGCCATATGCTTGAGCAGCTTTGATACTAAATTGGCTTGTGAATAATGGAATAACTTGTTATTGAGGGTTAATGCAAAGTGTTTTCATTGATTTGCTTATTATAACACCCTATTTTCATTTCTTCCTACTACAATATTGTACTTTGAAAAATCTTTTGAATTATAACAGTTTCATCCAAATCCGAAACAAGTTATGCTCCTATAAATTGAGAGTATAATATCATAATTGGGTAGTTTTTTAACTTTTTCAAAGTACAATGACTTAGTGCAGAAATAAATGGAAGACTTGAAAGTAAAGTGGTATAATACAGAAATAAATGTAAGTACCGAGTACGTTACTATATCTTGTATGTAATCAAAAAATTGCTCAAATGATAAGAACAGCTTGGTACCTTGATTTGTAATTGTATTTTGATCGTTAAATATATACTATATTAAAAATATGATATGATACAGTTGTTCAAGTACATAACTCATTTATACCAATAAAGAATGATCTGAAAAAAAAAAACATATTGTACAACCATTTTGGATGGATTTTAACACGAGATCCTGAACTGTATAAAAGTCTGCAACGATAGAACAATGAATAAGTTTTCCAACAATCGTACTTGGCTTGTTTCTGCAAACAATACATTGCTTTCGTAAAAAGTTAAGATAAACCATTACAAAAAAAAACGTTGATAACAAAAAACCAGAAATGATGGTGGAATGGAAAAGGGGAGATGATAGAATTACTTACGTTAAAGTGATGTTGATGACAGATTGAGAGATGTGAGCACTTTGTATGAAACCTTGTGTTAATGGAAGTGCATGTGTATGGTTTTTGTGTGGGTTTTGCATCTTCAGATTAACATCTTGAAGCTGCATGTCTTTCATGGAGGCATCATATAGATATAGATACAGGAGTATATCTGTGTGCCTCTTCGGTGGCTCTTCCCCATGCCCAACCAATAAAGCTTCATCATGGAAAAGTTCAATATATATATATATATATATATATATATATATATATATATATATATATATATATAAAATAAAATAAAATAAAGAGAGAGAGAGAGAGAGAGAGAGAGAGAGAGAGAGAGAGAGAGAGAGAGAGAGAGAGTGAGTTGGGTGGGGTACGCACCTTTCACTTTCTTTTGAAGTACTTATCTTGAGTGGGTGGATTGCAATACTATCACTACAGACATTTCTGTCCTTTTCAATGGCCGGCAAAGACCCAACTCCCACCATCCGGGTTTTCTGTGGGTTTTCTTCAAAACCAACAATCTCTCAACACCAGGTTTTAACTCAACTCTACACTGCCATGAAGTTTAGTAGTTTACCAATATCTTGGACGAAGATAACACACAAACTCTTTTAACTTGTTTAATGTTTCAATCTAACATGATATATTGTGAAATTTGATAGAAAAGAATTATGGAAGAGTTATGCTATTTTCATTCATCAGAAAAAAAAAAACAATTACAATTGTGTATATAATAAGCTAATGATAATGACTAATTTGAAAATGAGATAAACACATATCTAAACGATATGAATCTGAAGATAAGTGAGATAAACACATATCTAAACAATATGAATTTGAAGATAAGTGCTCCAATACTCATTCTTAAGTTGGACCGTGCAGATTGCAAACACCCAACTTGCCACGTAAGTAATGAAATTGTTTTTGGTTGTTTTTCCGTCTTTATCGCAACGACCTTGATCTCACCACTTGTAACTCGTTCTAGAACAAAGTAGCAGTCCATTTCAACATGCTTAGTACGTCCATGATAGACCGGGTTAGTTGCAATATGTCGAGCAACATCATTATCACACATCAAAGTGGTGGCACCACCATGCTTTACACCAAGATCACACGAAAGCCAACGCAGCCATAGAATCTCACAAACAGTGTTCGCCATAGCTTTATACTCAGCTTCAGCTGCCGACCTAGCTACTACACTCTGCTTCTTTGTTCTCCATGAAACATGAGAACCTCCAATAATAATGAAATAACCCCTATATGATCTTCTAGTTGAATGATAACTAAGCCAAATTGCATCACAATAGACAATAAGAGTCAGGTCTCCCTCTGACAATAGAAATAACCCTTATCCTGCAGTGGTCTTCATATATCGAAGAACTCTAAAAGTTGCATCCATGTGGAACTGTCTAGGCTTGCTTATATACCAACTCAGTTGGTTAACACTGAAAGCAATATCAAGCCTGATAACCGTGAGATAGAGTAAACAACCAGCCAATCTTCTATATTTTGATTCGTCAACTTCTGGTGTATCATCTTCTTTCATAAGTCGAAGATTTTGATCCATAGGGAAGTCACTAGGCCGACAATCTTGAATATGACAATCTTAAAGAATGTCTAAAGTGTATTTTTTTTGGCTGATCACAAAAGCCTTTGAAGACCTAGCAACCTCAATTCCCAAGAAATACTTGAGTAGGCCCAAATCTTTTATGTTAAACTAATTTTGCAAGTTAATATTCACTTGATCAATCTTATGAGCATCATTTCCCATAAGGACATCATCGATATAGACGAGGGCAATGACATGTAACATTCCATTTTTGAAAACGAACATAGAATGATCAACATTGTTGGAAACTATCGCTAATAAGGGCCTTGGTAAAATTTGATACCAATTCCTTAAGGCTTGTTTTAAACCATAAATGGACTTTTGTAACTTACAAACACGATCTTCTTCCTTTTTCGAAAATCCTTGTGGCACTTTCATGTAGACTTTTTCTTTTAATTCACCATGTAAAAATGCGTTGTTAACATCAAGTTAGTGAACTTCCCACTGTTTCTTCGTTGCAATGGCTAAGACACATCCTACGGTAACAAGTTTTGCCACATGAGCAAAATGAAAATCAATGCCTTCGATCTGGGTATATCCTTTGGCCACAAGACAAACTTTAAATCTTTCTATCTCTCTATTGGGTTTATATTTAATCTTATAAACCCACTTTGAATCGATAACATTCTTCCTTTTGGAAGATTTGTTAAGACCCAAGTGTTGTTTTCTTCCAAGGCCTCAATTTCCTTCTTCACTGCTTCTCTCCATCTAGGATCATTCGTTTCCCGTGAAAAATACTTTGGTTTGTTGTTCATTAAGATGGTAGTCAGAAAAGCATGGTGTGATTTGGAGAAAATTAACATCTTATAGCTCACATATTGCAAGATGGGAAAAGGCCTCAAAGTCTTTCTAGAAACCACATGTGTCTTCACTATAAGATCGAGGGAAGGAGGTAGATCAGTAACAAAACCATCAAACTATTTTGACATGGTTCTATGGAGAGTACTTTGACGTAAACCCTCGTTATGGTGACGATCAGCTGGTGGTTCGTTTCTTGGTGGAGTTTCTCCAGTTTCACCCCCATCATCCGATGTTACTTCTGATTGAGAGCGATTGTTGTTGGTCTCAATGTTATTCTCCCTTGGTTCTTTGCTAGTTTGAAGATGTGGAACAAAATTTTCAACAAAAACTTTTGCACCGGTCATGGCATCAACAAAAGTTTATCGTTAGTATTTGCATTATTATTGTAATTTTCTCCAAAAGGGAAAATGTTTTCAACAAAGTTTACATAACGCTATTTATACATTCTATGATTCTTCAAATCATAACTTGTACCCCTTTTTCCATTAGGATATCCAAGAAATACACATGCTCTCCTTCTTTCTTGGAGCTTATTTGCCTTACCAACATTGTCATGAGCGTAAGCTAAGCATCCAAAAACTCGAAATTGATTGTAAGTGAGTTCTTTTCCTAACAATATTTCATGAGTTTTGTTATTTAAAACCGGTGTCTGTAGTTTGTTTATTATATATGTTGTCGTGGAAACACACTCGCCCCAAAACTCGATTGGAAGAGAAGCTTGGAACCGGAGAGCTCTAGCCATTTCAAGAAAATGTCGATGTTTTCTCTCAACAACTCCGTTCTGTTGTGGCGTGTATGAGCAAAATATTTCAAGCAAGATTCCATGCTTCGTATAAAAGTCCAATATGAGTTGAGATCTAAACTCAGATCCATTATCAATTTACCTGTTTTCCAAATTGGGTTTCCATCATATTGTAAAACATAACTAAAAAATATGCTGCTTAATATTAAGTTTTTATAAGATATACCCAAACACCATGACTATAATCATCATTGATAGATAAGAAATAATGTGCACCATCAATAGAAGCATGTCTATAACGACCTCAAATATCAACATGAATTAAGTCAAACCAACTAGAAGTTTTAGCAAAGCTTATGGGAAAAAGGTAATCTACTTTGTTTTGCACGAATACATGAATCACAAAAATGACTACTAGTGTTTATATTTTTTAAATGTTGGATATTCTTAAGGACTCCATCATAAGCATGTCCTAATCTCTTATGCTATATTTCAGTTTTAGTCCATACTGCCATGATCACATCATTTTGATTGAATGGTTCAAGGTAGTATACACCATGTAATATTACTAACCGACAATAAGTTGTAGTTAAAATCTGACACACTTAAAACATCCTTGAGACTAAAACCTTTAGACAGATGTATATCACCAACCCTTTTAACATCCGATGTCTCACCATTGGGGATAGTCACTAGCGTATAATCACTTTTGGTTTTAACATTTCTAACCAATTTTCCCGATGTGTAACATGATCACTAGCCCCATAATCTATAATCCAAGAATGATTAGCTTTAGTGATTTTATCTGTCGTGTTGTCGGTGGGAGAAGCCCTTTTGTTGTTTTCTATGACTTGATTAGCGCGCAACAGTTTGAGAAGGACTTCATATTCATCTTTTGTTATCCCCAGTGCAGCACTGCTATCGGCTATTGCAGTGGCAACCTTTGATGGTGTTTTTTGCTTGTTGCCTTGAGGTTTGGCCTATTTTGGGTTCCACCACTCTGAATAGCCAATAATTTCAAAGCAACCATCCATGGTGTGACTAGATTCTAGCAATTCGTGCATCAAAGATCTTCATTCTTTTTCTTGGTTGAGTTTTGCGAGATCTATTTTCTTTGGTGTCTAGGGCCTACTTTTCTAGAAGTTTGGAAGGTTGCTGCATCGCCATCGGAATGTCAATTCATCCCAACAGTTCTTTGTTGTCCATCTTGGCTGACTAGATGGTAGACAATGCCAAGAGCCGGTAAAAGAGTAGAACTCAAGATTTGTGTCTTGACAACGCTATATTCATCGTTTAGTCCCATTAGAAATTCACACAACCTTTCTTTTTCTCGAATCTTCATGAACTCCTTGTCAACGTCACACTTGTAGTCTTTACAAACACAAGAGTGTGTAAGACTTATTTATTGTATTTCATCCCATACACTCCTAAGCTTTGTGTAGTATACAAATATTGACATATCTCCTTGTTGTATGGTGGTGACGGTTCTTCTCAGTTCATATGCTCTTGGGGCATTTTCTTTTCCAAAACATTCTTCAAGATCCACCCAAATGTCACGTGTAGTGGTTGTATACTTGACACTGCCTTGATCTCTTTCTCCATTGAACTCACCAACCATCCTCGAACTATTACGTTGCATCTCCTCCTATTCATCAGCTCATCATAATCTTCTTTGGCATCAACATTGTTCCATCAATGAAACCCATTTTGTTTTTGGAAAAGAATGAATTTGTCATCTCGTTTTGCCAATCACTGTAATTTCCATCATGGAGTAAGTTTTCTCCAATGAAATTTTGTTCTGGATGATCAACGGGAGTGAGGAAGAAGGGACACGTGATATCAATGGGTGTTTGTTGAATACGCATCAGCAGAGCCTGTCATGGATTAGGTAATTTCAACTAGGGTTTCAGACCTGCTTTGATACCATGTGAGATTTGATAGAAAAGAATTATGGAAGAGTTACGCTATTTTCATTCATAAAAAAAAACAATTACAACTGTTTATATAATAAGCTAAAGATAACGACTAATTTGAAAA